CTGGGCCCCAAGCCTCACAAAGCTGACCCGTGGCAGCTCGGAACACTCCAAACCGAACTCAAGGCACCTCGCTCGCCACTCCAACACTTCACTTCCAAAACACCAAGCCAGCCAAACGTACCCGACACCAAGGATGTCTTTATCCAAGGGCGACGTACCTGACTGATTTGGGATGATGCCTAACAGCCGCATTTCAAACGGCTTCCTGCCACCGCCACCTACAACCATAGTCACTAGCTGCAGAGACGGCTCTGACAATAGGAACAGTGGCGGTTCTGCCCGACCAGAGGAAATGACACCCGAACTGGCAGGAGTTCAGAAGTAATCATGCCCGACCTGACGGAGGCCTGGAAGTGAGTGCGCGAGGTGGTTATAAAAGGCTTCTACCCCTCCAGGGACGAGGAATGCTAACTTTCGCGCTATCTGGTTATTCTTGCCGTTGAAGGATTCTAACTTGAGCTTCGGAGCCCTTACGCCRGGTTCTCCCCGGAGCTTCTCTTCTCCTCCCGTTTCAGGTCCCTGTTGCTCAGTTCAGAGGCAAGATCATCGACAACTAGGACCGGCCAGATTGTGCATCATCAATTTTGTATCCTACAAATTTATATTTTTAGAAGGAATATAAATACAAATATGTATAGTATGAATACATACAAAATAATACAAAATACAAGGTTTTGTGCTCTACACATTTGAATTTGTATTGCTTCCAAATGGAGCCTCAAGTACCTGTGGATTTATAATAAAAATAGGAGTATCAACTATTAAGAACTTTGGATACACATGATATATACACGAGGCTTCTGTCAATGCAAGGTCTTAGGTGGGACAGATCTATATAACCTTATCTTTGCACATATGGAGAGGTTGTTTCCAAGATTTGAACCTTAATCACTTAACGCCCATTTTTTCCATTCATAGTGTATATGATGGGGATTAGGAACTAATGAGGAGTAATAGAACGAGGGCTAGCAGGTTCTGATCCAGTTAAAGAGTTTACACATATGTTTAAGGCTTTAAGCTCCAATTGTGTAAAGCATCTGTAAATCTTTGGGGTGAGCTCTCGGTCCAACCACTCCCCAGAGATATAAACATGGCAGATGGATCCAACACATTGTGGTTGCTTGGTTTCAGGGCATGTCGTTTTCTTTCCTTCCGAGGTGTACACCTTCCACGGCATCATTTGCAGTCACTTCTTCACCTGTTCCTTCCATCCCATACAAAGAGACTTCATTCAATTGCATGTACTATGTTCTCTACAAAACGGAGAGGTTCAGTCAGAAATTGAAAGAACCATGAACAGGGTCGCCAGTGGCTTTGTCATTCACGGGGGCGCCAGTGTGGAGTGAAAGCGCCGGAGAGCTGCTGTTGTGCTAAGGTTCGAAATGAGGATAAGGAGGGGGAGTTCGAACTGAGTGTGAAATAAAAATGGATGTTTTGTCTTTTTGTGTCTAATTGAACCAGATTGACAGCCAAACCCGCGTTAACGTTACCCATCCAGTGCACACCCATGGGTGCACAGAACGCGGACCCCTCCTTCCAAACTGAGTATTAGTGATCTCAATGCGTGGACATATTTTGGCCTAATCAACTCAAATGCAACTCTTGCCATGAGTAGGTACGTAGCAATCCTGATTTTTTTTTCCTACCGTGCTCTACTTATCTCTGACTAAGCCAGACTACAAGCTAAAATTAAATTGTGGTCCAGAAATGCTGGAGTTCTTCCATCCATTTCTTGCTTGCCATCTTCCAAAATATCAAAATTAGAGTTTTAGAACAAAACTTCACTGGTTCACCTTGCATCTAAAATATCTTTATTCAGTTCTTCAACTTGCAGGGTACAGAGGCTATACTCAGAGCTTAATTTCTACTTGTATATTATCAAAAAAAAAAAAAAGAAAATAACTTTGGAAATTACCAAATACATTGCAATTATAGAGAAAACAGTCACCTTACTAACGACCATGGCCTAGAGAGTTTGAGTGTTGAAGTTCATCTGAGGAATCCCAATCGGATGAAGATGAGAGAATCTTGGACAGAGATATGAATGCCTGAGATATGGTTGGGCGTGAATTCAGATCAAGAGCCAAGCAGTTCATAGCCAGTTGGGCCAGGGAGAAGGCTAACTCCAAAGGGTAGTCATGCCCCAGAGAAGGATCCATGAAGCCTCTCAGCTTCTCTCTTGCATTCTCTCCTTCAAGCACTGGTTTTATTGTCTCAGACAACAATCTCTCCCCTCTGTCACCATCATCATTTGAAGAAGTGGCAGCTTCTCTTCTAGACAAGAGCTCTAACACTATAACCCCAAATGCAAACACATCTAGCTTTGGAGTGAGCAGCCCATGCTCGAGATACTCTGGAGCCATGTAACCCTGTGTACCGACTACATGACTCGTCAGTTGCAGGGTTCCATTCACAGTTCTTGCCAACCCAAAATTTGCAATCTTGGCTCTGAGGTCGCCATCCAAGAGAATGTTACTGCTATTCAAGTTCTTGTGGATGTAGGGAGGATTGGCATAGTTGTGAAGGTAATTAAGCCCATTTGCTACATCATAGGCAATCTGAACTCTCTGCTTCCATCCCAGATTCTTCCCCTCATGAAGCCAATCACTGAGCGGCCCACCTTCTGCAAATTCATAAACGAGATAGGTGTTCCCCTCATGCACACAGAATCCTGAAAGCTTAACCACGTTGAAATGATTGATCAGTTTCAGTATATTAATCTCGTTTGAGATATTCCCCTCTATCCTCTTTACAGCAGCATTATCTCCCTGGATAACTCCACGATAAACAGATCCCTTGATCTTATGATCTTCACTGAAGAACCCAGTAACCTTTTCCAACTCTTCAAATTTGTAAACCGTCAAGGATTCGATGACAACTTGAATTCCATCAGAAGAGCCGAATTGCTTGCCTGCAGCTGCTGCAATATTAGAATCTGCAGCAAGCTTTCTGCCTTCTGGGTTCAGCTTGCCTTGCCGAAGGCGCCGAAGACACAAGAACCAAACCAGAGTTCCGAAGATGACCAAAGTAACTAAGCCTACTCCAATTCCAATTCCGAAGAAAACCCATTTATTTGAAGAGTTTCTTTCAACAGCAGGGACAGTATTCTGCAGTACCGGAGATTGTAAAGGTGCCGGGGAAGAAGCTGAACTTTGGATCTTGGTTGGCCGTGGCTCAGTCCTGAGTGGAACCAGGATGGGTGTGTAGGGATAAGTAACGCTATCCCATTTCAACTTATTGGCATCATTAATGCTTTCTTCGTCGACGCCAAACTTCTTAGAAATTGAAGGAACATCATCCTCCAATGAAGGCAAGTAAGTCAGCAAGAACTTCACACCACGAGCAGTCTGGTTCTTAGTAGGACAAGCACACCTCAGAGGGGCCAGCAGCTTCATACCGAATAACAGATTCATGCTATCATATGGGTTCTGATTCATCATGGCTTGACAGGTAGTCAGGCCTTGGTAGGTGTCGTTGGAGATCACAAAGTAAGTATCAGTTTCGTATTTCATGGTATAAAAGGCGTTGTGCTGATAGAACTTGCCCAAACAGGAGCAATTCACTGGGATATAGAGGAGGGTATCCACCGGAACGGGGTCGACGTCGGTGATGTTGTTGAATCTGGCGATCTCCGACGGCTGTGAGCCCAAGAGGTAGGCGATGCTGACGGGGTTGTCGTAGGGAGGGAGTGATCGGAAGGTGAGATAGGTTTTGCAGGATTTCTTAAGGCCATTGCAGAGATACCCATGTGTTAGAGATCGGTTCTCGTAGCAGTCGAGCTGCATGTTGTCGAGGTAAGCTTGTTGAGCGTGGGAGAAAGCAGAGAGGGACAGAAATATGAAGAGGAAGGAGGAGAGAATGGACGATGAAGCAGAAGCCATAGAGATGGGGATGAAGATGGAGATGGATAAATAAGAATGGCAGATGGCAAACTTAGCTGAATACTAAACTGGGTTGCTCTTGATATAAATGATCAAGCGGTGGTTGTAATGGTCAAGTCTTCTCATTCGTTGTGACCTTGTGAGTCTGTATTTGTGTGGGTCCTGTAATTAAATGTTGGGCCGACGACCAGGTGAAGTCAAGCAAGGAAGTTAATCGTGAACACTCATTTTATTTCTATTTTTTTTTTTTAATTCGACTCCAATACTTTGCCTAGTATGCAGAAATCTGAATGCTAGGTGGTGTGAAATGACAACCGATAATTTTACTCCGGAGAGGAGAATGTTTGGTAACCAGCGATTAAAATGTAACGAAGTCTATTAAAAACTGAAGAAATGATTAAAATGCTAATAAATTAATAAATAATTCATAAAATGATCAAAAAACTGTTAAAATGAACTAATAAAGCATAAATAATTATCCATTATTAATCAGTAATGATTAACAATTAATAATACCCAAAACTTTTTAATTGGGTATTATCCTGATTAATAATCGGGAAGGTTTTGGGTCTATGGTTTCATCCCATTAATAATTGGTTTGGGACTCATACATCCTCTCCTGAACCAGATCCAATCGGGTGTGAACTTATTTTGCTGCTTTGCTTCATTCTTAAAAATACCCCTTCACAAAAGAAAAAGGGTAAAATACAAAAATCTCTCTTAAATTTCTGACAATCATAAAAATCTCCCTTATACTTTCACTTTAACAAAATCTTTCCTTAAATTTTTAAAAAATTCAGACAAAAACCTCCCTTCTGTCAATGATCAAAACAAAAAACATTAAACTGATGAATCAATTTTTTCAAATATCTATTTTACTCTTTTCAAAATTAGTTTGCATCTATTTTTGCTAATCCTATCAACATTTTTTTCCTCTTTTCCTCTCATGTCGTCCTATTTACCTTCTTTTCTTATCCCAGTTTATCAAGTCTGAAGAGGAGTAGGAGGAACACAGCATTAAGGCTCGAGGAACGCAGCACAAGGGTTCAAGGAATTCTATTGACTCTATTTTTCCTTTCTGTTTTCTTCATCTTTGGCAATTTCTTCCTCTTTCAATCAAGCAGAGGTAGCCGTTGACATTATTTATACTGCCAATGCAGGTAATTTTTGAATTTTAGCCATTGTTGCTCTATTACAAAGCCAGTGAGGTAGCCGTTGACATTAGTCAGTCAGTGTTGCTCTATTTTCAGTATGTCTTAACACTGATTTTTGGCAAAATGAAGTGGGGATTCTTGCCTTGTAACGGAGAGCAAAATCCTTGAATGCCCTATTAGCCTTAGGGACAACAAACATATGTGAAATTTTCTAATGAATAACCAAGGGAGAGAGGGGTTTAAGCTTGTAAATATGGATATGAATTGTAATTTTGTGCACTGGTTAATATAGATCAATGAATTGGAGTGAAGTTTGACGAAGTCAAACAATGAGTTACAACAGAAAAATAAAAACCAACGGAAATTTAAAACAATGAAAATGGAAGAAAACGAAGCAAAGAAAACCTATAAACTACAATAAAACCAACTCGAATCCTATAAAAATCCATTCAAACCAACTGAAATCATATGAACACTAACTGTTCAGACATTGAACCCTTGGCTCAGTGAAGAAACCGAACTCCTTGGGTTTGAACATAGATAGTAAGATTAAAAATGGAAATATGAGAACACTCGTCAGTCAATGATAGTCTCCAATAAAAAACAGTTGACAGAAAATGGATGAATATCCGAGAGGTGGAATATTCCGAGCAGTAGCACGACTGCAACTTCAGGGTTTACGTTCTTCTGATCTGACAAAAAAGAAAAGGAATATGTAAAATATTGCTCGTTTGAGGGCAAATATGATACTTTACAGAATAATTAAATGACACTTGGGGGTAATTCTGTAACTATTGACGTTTTCTATCTTGATTATTGACGAAAGGGAGGTTTTTGTCAAATTTTTTAAAAATCAAGGGAGGCTTTTACTAAAATAAAACTATAGGGAGATTTTTATGATTATCAGAAACTTCAGGGGAGTTTTTATATTTTAGCCAAAGAAATATAGTGTCCAAACTCTGGTCCATACGGGTAGGGATCTTCTCCCAACACTGTCAGACAAAGCCACTACAGAACATTTCCTTGGTCATTCATGACAGTCGGATCTGCTACCCACATGGTGTTCCCATGTCCATACCCGCAGAGCACCCCATTCATGGGAGATATTTATGATGTATAACTGGAATGGCGTGTTGGGACAGTGTTGGGGGCATTTGTTGTAGCATATCTGAACTCATCAGTCCAGACAGGTAATAGAATCCCTCCAATAAGTAATGGCAATAACATAAAAGGAACGGTGGAAAAATCTACTAGAGAATACAGTGGAGATACAGAACTGAAACTGTTGTGGGAAAAAATAGCTTTTCTCCTATGGTATATATGGGAAAACAGGAATGAGAACATTTTGGAAAATAAAGACCAGGAGCCTCATCAGAATCATTCAAACAAGCCAGGAACACCTTAATAGAATGAAACAAGGCTGGAATGTTGGCCTGAAGATGGACCAAGCCCAAACAATTTCAAGTGAATTCATCAAATTAAAACAACCCATTTGTAGTCTCCTTCAGTGCTATTCCCGTCTGGGAGGGCTTTCATGCAGCAGCTTCTGGCGTTGCATGAACCAAGAAATCCAGAAAATCATCAAGTCTTATTTGGTAAAAATCTTGAAAGCCGAGAAGTATCTCAGAAGCATCTCAATCACCACAAAAGCCCTCCCAAACGGGGCCTAAGTCACATTGTCATACTATAATCCTTGAGGACCTTCACTGACTCAAGACGCAGATCCTAATTAAATATCAAGGCTCCAAACATAGCTTCAGCATTGAGGTAGTAGTAAATTTCTATAAAAAAAAAAAAAAAGCATTGAGGTAGTAAAACAGAGGTAATTGGAGACTATCAACCAAAGTCTGGTTCTTGGCAACAGAAAGACGGAATTAGAAACTGATGAGTGATGGCACATATCAGAGAGGCGTTTGATTGTTGACTTTACCAGAGTGGGATTAAGATTAACTGAAAAAGAGTCCATAGTCAGGGGAGAAAGAGATTTGCTGATGATGGTGCACCAGAGTGACAACTGACAAGAGAGAAAAGCGTGTTATGGTTGGTAAGGCGTGATAATGTCTCGTGATCAACGAATCAGATTATTCATGCCAGTGGAGTAACCAACCTTGTTTGATTTCTCAAGATGTGCTTCTGATTTTGAATTATAAAATATTTGCTGCGTTCAATTTCTCCCACCTTCTAAGTAAATATTTTATAATTCAAGGTTTGAACTTTAAATGTTTCAGATGTGCGCGTAGTCATAGAGAAAAAATACAGTTTCAGATCAGCATATCAATTTCTTTTTATTTTCGGACACTGGGATGTATCATTATCACCACGACAGAACTTGAAATCAAACAATGAGCAAGGAAACAGTGGTTAAAGCTGTGTAGTTATATAGTAGTCGTACAAGAATCCTTTTTGATCATTTTTCATTCTAAAGCATGCATTTGGTTTGATAGTGGAATGGCTAACCAATCCCCTTTAAGGTCTCATCCAGAAACAAGGGGAAAGAAAAATTACATTTGAGAAATTATATATAAAAAGAAAAGAAATAGACAAGAAAGAAAGAAAATGGGAGTAACTATGAATCTATATCAGAAAGAGAAAAAAAACAATTGGACAACATAATCATGAACCCTTTAATATGCAAAACTGAACCTAAATTGCTAACTCGGTCAGAAGGGTACCCCTGCATATTCATATCCAATCCCCCTGGACAACTTTGCTTCCTCATAGAGACTGACTAGCCACGACCCATCTGATTGCATCAATCAATCAATCTTCACAGATGAGTATATAAGCCTTGTGAACCAGAAACAAGCATAGAAACCAATCGTGCCAGTCAGCACAAAGAATTGAAACGAGGCAATAAGCATGTAGCCAAAGTACAGAACCCCAGAAACTGGCTTTGTGATCTCAAGCTTTGTGAAAAAGTAGAATGTAGCATAGAGGAAAAGGTAGAACGCCGAAGATCCCGAGGTCAGGTAAGATCTCCACCACCACAAGTAGTCCTCACTGCAAAGCTGGAAATAGCAGAGCACTATTGTGATCTCAGCACAAGTAACAATGAGGATCAGGAAGACAATGAAGAGGAAGCCAAAGATGTAGTAGAACTGGTGTAACCATATTGATGTGAGTATGAAGAAAAGCTCAATGAAAACAGCTCCAAACGGGAGTATCCCCCCAATAAGAATTGAAAAGACTGGGTTCATGTACCAAGCCTGCTCTGGAATCTGTCTTGGGATCTTGTTTGTCTTCACAGGGTCCTCGATGGCTGGCTTCTTGAACCCAATATAACTACCAACAAACACAAGTGGGACTGAAATTCCAAACCATAGTAAGACAAGAGCAAACATGGTCCCAAATGGCACTGCCCCAGATGACTTCTCTCCCCAAATGAGAGCATTCAAGACAAAAAAAATGGCAAAGACAATGGCCGGGAACATGACAGCTGTTTTGAAAGTGACTTTCTTCCATTCTGTTCCCTTGAACATCTTGTACAGGCGGGCAGAGGAGTAACCAGCAAATATGCCCATAAAAACCCAGAGTAGGAGCATGGCTGTCATCAAACCACCCCTGTTTGAAGGGGATAAGAACCCAAGCATGGCAAAGATCATGGTGACAAGTATCATCCCAAAGAACTGGACACCTGTTCCAACATAGACACATAGTAGATCTGAGTTAGCTGGAGGCCTGAAAACATCTCCATGGACCAGTTTCCATCCAGTTTCTTCTTGTGCTTCTTCTTGGGTTTCCAGCTGGTTGTACTTGGAAATATCACGGTACAGTGTTCGCAGCATGATCATAGCAACCATACCCGATAGGAAGAGAACAATCATCAAAGAGTTGACAATTGAGAACCAGTGTATTTGGTCATCAGCCATTAGGAGGTAGGTATCCCATCTAGAAGCCCACTTTACATCACTTGCCTACAATGTGGAACAGAAGCCAAAATAATTAATGAAGAGGAAAACAATAAACCCCCCACTAGACCTGTTCATGGGCCGGGCCGGGCCGGGCTCGGGCCGGGCTTTGACTCTTTATTAACAAAAAACTGTTAGGCCCGAGCCCGAGCCCGGCCCGACCAACGGGCCTACAACTTGGGCCC